TATGATGAAATCAGGATTCTTAGGTTCTCTGTATTCATTTCTAGCTGTTTTACTTTTACAAGCTAGGAAAATAAGCAAGTTTTTCTTCTTTAGAAATTGATTTAAGCCTGGGGCCTAGATGTACTTTCTTGTTTCTTGCTTCAGGTCCTTTACAGTGTCAGCATCCCCTAGCAGCATATCTGCTTCTTAGAGTACAGCATCTGCTTTTCTCAGTGTGAAGACTTTCAGGGAACAAGTGCTGTTCCCCTTGAGGAGTCACAGGCTTAGTCACGTACCTGAGCGGTATAATCTGATGGTTGTGGACCCTTCGCTGTCCTTGCACCTCTTCCTCCTTTCATGTTAGACCTGAAGGCCCAGGAATCTGTCTCTAATCCCCTCTAATCTTTTAGTCACTTCTGTTGTATGCAATCTTGGCCATTCTCTTCTGTTCCTGCTGTTTGTTCATCTAGTAAACAGTAACTCAGTTCCATAAACTATGGAAACTTTGCTCTGAGATAACTCCATTTCCTACTCCATCCTTTGTGTTACTTTTGTCATATATATCTTGACTATACAGGTATGTGTTGTTTAACGTCCATTTGGGCAATGTCAGGCCACATATACGTCTGTGGGCCAGGACACCCAGGTGTCTCAGTGCCAAGATGCCAGACCCTCGTGTTGAGATTGGAGTCCCACTTCTGCCTGGCTGCTGTGCGTGGCCTGGAAGCCACACAGTCTGCAGCAATGGCGACCCAGGCCCAAACTCCCAACCTGGATCCCGTTTGGCTCCCGCGACTCCGTGTCTAGTCCCCACATTTTGCCCAGTGTAGTCCACCTGTGGAAGGGTATGCGACCTGGGCGCCCCAGCCTGGGCTCAAAGGCCCTCAGTCTCCTTGGCCCCCACTGTCCTCTCCCTGGGCAGGTTCTTATGAGTGAGCTGGTCTTCCCTCCTGCTGGCTTAGCAGAGAAGGTGGTGACAGTCACATCAGCAGTTTGGAGGAAAAAGTGTGGGTTGATTATTGACTTACACTTTCTTCACATGCCGCATCCAGCTGGGCTGGTTTGGAGAGAAAATGCAGCGAGTGAATTTTTGTGGCTGGCTCTGCCTCCTACTTGACCCATCCCCCCCTTTCATGTTGCACAGCTGTAATATGCCAAAAGGAGCAAGTGTTTGCTGTTTTGTGCTCTGTTTACAGCTTTGGGGTGCCGAGTCATAAATCTTGCCCAGCCATAAATGACAAAAACCGTTGGTATACACGAGGCCACCCTGGCCCAGGCTGCTTTTTGATTTCTCCCTTTTCCCCTGGCTTTGTTTTTGTTTTAAGGTGACACTTTGGCTCCCCGACAATTTAAACCTACTACTTATATTTTTAACACCTTCCCACAGCCCCACTTGGCAACAAGCCCACCCTGCTGTCCCCCCACCTGCGGGGACAGGCGTCCCTGCTGCTAGGAAGAATGGGCGCCCAGTCTCGCTCCCAAGTACCCAAGGTCGGCAGCACCACAGGCCTGGCCTGGGCAGGGGTCTCGAGATGGCTCCCCTGCTGCCCAATGCCATGCCCAGAGCCTTCCTGCTGTGACCTTCACGGGGCTACAGGGCCATGTGGGACCTGGCTCACCTGAGGCATCCGCAGCGGGAGCTGCCCAGACGGAGCAACACACAGCAGCACCCCCAGGCCTGTGCCACAGGGACCCGAATGTTCACACAACATCCAAATCACATAATGTCCTGTTCACAGAATGTGTTGTGGACGTTAAGGCACGCATGCCTGTATGTGATTAAAACCCTCAGTTGAAGGGTTAATCTCACTCACATTTTCCTTAAAACAAAAAGCAAATAAACAAATTGCCCCTCCCCCCCTTTTTAGAAATTTCTTGGCCTTTGGCTTCTCTGGAGTTAACTAGTTCCTACTCTGTTAGCCCTGATCTTGTTTTGCAACTTACAGTTTCTCTTGTTCAGTTGCCTGCTTGAAACCTACACTTAGGAATCACATATCAATACAAGCTAATGGGCATTCACTGAGTGACTGCTGTAAGGCAGGCATTGTTCATTTTCCAGTTTCTTAAGGTGGAAGCTTAGGTTATTGATACGAGATTTTTTTTTCTAATATAGGTGTTTATAGCTATAAATTTATCTTAAAGCACTGTATCTCATAAATTTTTATATGTTGTGTTTTTGTTTTCTTTCAGTCCAATATATTTGCTAGTTTTCCTTTTGATTTCTTCTTTGAGCAGTAGGTTTAGAGGTGTGTTGTTTCATTTCCAAATATTTGTGGATTTAACCACATTTCCTTCTGTTGTTGAGGTCTAATTTAATTCCATTTTGGTTGGAGAACATACTTTGTATGATTTCAGTCCTTTTAAATCTATTGGGATTTGTTTTATAGCCTACCATTTGGTCTATCCTGGAGAATGTTCCATGTGTTCTTGAGAAGAATGTTGCATCCTGCTGTTGTTGGGTGTTCTGTAGCTATCCCCTGTATCCTTGCTGACTTTATGTCTAGCTGTTCTGTTTCTCACTTCAGTTCTGGCGGTTTTTGCTGCATGAATTTTGGGGCTCTGTTGTTAGGTGCATATTGTTTATACTTGTTATATCTTCCTTAAGGATTGACCTTGCTATCAGTATAAAATGTCTCTCTTTGTCCCTAGTAACATTTTCTTGGCGTCAAGTCCCATCTAAGCTCTCATATGGATATTGTTTGCATGGTATATATTTTTTCTATCCTTTTACTTTAAACCTATTGGTGTCTTTTGAATCTAAAGTGTGTCTCTTGTAGACAGCCTGTAATTGTATCCTGTATTTTTATCCAGTCTGACAATCTTTGTTTTTGTTATTGGATTGTTTAATGAATTTACATTTAATGTTGTTATTGATATAGTTGAGTTTCTGCCTGTCATTTATTGTTTGTTTCTGTGTTCATGCTTTTTTTATTGTTTTTCCTTTTCTTCCTTCTTTTGGATTTGATAGGTATTATTTCTAATTTTAATTATTTTATTATATTTGTTAGTTATCTTCTTAGTGTTTGTTCTGGATATTGCAGTATCTATCTTAATTTATAACAGTCTACTTCTGATTAATACTAATTTAATTCCATAAAATATGGAAACTTTGCTCTAAGATAGCTCCATTTCCTACCCCTTCCTTTGTGGTATTATTGTCATGTATCTCCTGACTCTATGTGTTTAAAAAGCCAACAATATAATGTTATATTTATTGTTTTATACAGTGTTATGTGTATTTTTGTCTTTTTTTTAAACAACTTTATTGGGATATGGTTCACACGCCATGCAATTCACTCATTTAAAGTGTATAGTTCAGTGGTTTTTTAGTGTGGTCACAGAGTTGTATATCCATCACCACAATCAATTTCCATCACTCCAGAAAGAAACCTCATACTCATTAACAGTCACGCCTTATTCCCGATCAGCCCTCCACTACCCTTCCTGAATTAGACAACCACTAATTTACTTTCTATCTCTAGATTTGCCTATTCCGCATGTTTCATATAAATGGAATCATATAATGAATGGTCTTTTATGACTAGCTTCTTTCACTTAGTAAAATGTTTTCAAGGTTCATCTGTGTTGTACCGTGTGTGGAGACTTCATTCCTTTTTATGGCTGAATAATATTCTGTTGTATTGATATACCATATTTTGTTTATCCGTTCATCAGTTGATAGACATTTGGGTTGTTTCCACTTTTAGGCTGTTATGAATAATGCTGCTGTAAACATTCACGTACAAGTTTTTGTGTGGACATATGTTAATCTCAGGTGTTTTTAAGAAGGAAAGAATGGAGGAAAACTATATTTATAGAGTCTGTTATATTAACTCACATGCTTAGCATTTCCAGTTCTCTTTACTTTTTCCAGTGGATTCAGGTTACCATCTAGAGTCATTTTCTTGCTCCAGTACCCTTCTATCCCCTCCCCAGCTCCTTTGTATTATTATTGTCATGTATAGTGCATCTTTATATGTTACAAGCCCAAGTATATGATTTTATGATTATTGTGCTATGTAGTTATTTTTAAATCAATTAAGAGAAGACAAATGAAAAATATATTTATAGTGTATTTATAATTACCTATGTTATTTCCTTTACCAGTTCTCTTTATTTCTTGTCTGGTGTCACTTTCTTTCAGCCTAAAGGACTCTTTTTACCCTTTTTTGTAAGGTGTGCTTGGTAGCAACAAATTCTCTAAGTCTTTGTTTATTTGGGAGTGTCTTTATTTTGTTTTCATTTTAGAGCAGTAGTTTTGCTGGCTATAGAAATTTTCTTTCAGCCTTTGAATAGGTCATCCTCCTGTCACTGGTCTCCATTGTTTCTGATGCAAAGTCAGCTGTTAATTTTACTGCGCTTCTCCTTTGCCTGATGACTCATTTTTCTTTTGGTGCTTTCAAGGTTTTCTGTTTGTCATTCTCTTTGTCTTTCAGCAGTTGTGACTGTGATGTGTAGATCTCCTTGGGTTTATCCTACTTGGAGTTTATTGAATTTCTTGCGTGTGTAAATTAATGTTTTCATCAAATTTGGAAAGTTTTGACCATTATTTCTTCAACTATTTCTTTAACCTCCTTCTCTGTTCTCCATCTGGGACTCTAATTGTTGTATGTTGGTACACATGATAAAGTGTCACAGGTCTCTGAGTTCCTGTTCATTTTTCTTCATTCTTTTCTCTTTCTGTTCTTCAGATTGATCTGTCTTCAAGTTCAGTGGCTCTTTCTTCTGCCATCTAGTATGCTTATGAAATGGTTTCTTTCTCGCACTGTTATTGAGCACACATATATTTATGATTGTTGTCTTCCTGATTAACCAGGTTGATGTGGCCCTCCTTATTTCTTGCGATACAGTTTGTTTTGAAATCTTATTTTGTATGATATTAATATAACCACTCTGGCCTTCTTATGTTTACTGTTTGCATGAATCTCTTTTTCTATTCATTTGCTTTCAGCTTATCTGTATCTTTATACTTATTATGTGTCTCTTGTAGACAGCATATAGTTCAATCTCTTTTATCCATTTTAACAATTTTTTTGCCTTTTAATTGCTTTTTTTTTCTTTTGAGAATGTGCTCCCCTTTCTTGCTTCTTTATATGTCAGGTAATCTTGGATTATATCCTTAATTATTATGAATGTTAAGTTCTCCAGATTCTGGATTCTTTTTTTCTGATAAATGTTATTTCCTTTGTTTTTGCAAGTCATTTTCCTGCCTGTTTTCATTGCAAACTGTTTCTTGGGCCTCAGCTCTGGTCTTTGTTCGTATGTTGTGTTGATATGAGCTGCTTTGAGTTTTTTCTGTACATGTGTGATTTGTGAGTCATTTACAGATATGAGTAGACAGAGTTTGGGGATCCCCTCTCTGGCTCTCTCCCTTATGGGATTCCTTTATTTTCTTGAGTGTTCATTGCTTCCCGGATTCAGTTTTGTAGTTCACAAAGATGCAAAGACTGTGAATGTTTCCACATGTGCCCTTGCTGGTATTATGTGTACTATGTGGACTGCACTTTGCCCCAGAGTAAAAGTCTTGAGGAAGGGAACTTACTTGTATAGCTCCTCATTTCCTTTTCTACAAGAGAATGTACCCCCATCAGAGTCTGTTAGCTTTTGTTCACTTTCCAGTTCTTTCTAGTAGTTGCTTTTTGCTTTGCGTCCAGGTTTCGTAGTTGTTTTCTGCATGGGGGTCCTCTGGTAGGATCTTAGAGCAGAAGTGTGTCCTTTTACATTCTCAAGTCCTCTTTTTTTCCAAATTCATATTTCAAAAGGACAGTTATTTCTCATTCTTCCTTTCTTCCCTCCCTTTTCTTCTTCATCAACCTTAGTTATTACTCATTCTTCTATACTCAGCTCAAACATTTTCTAAACTCAGTTAAAACAAAAAGTTCATGAGAATGATATGAATAAGAAATTGGAGCTGTGGTTTTTAAATGACTTTATAGCTAAAGTGCATAATAAATTATATTTAATAGAAAAGTTGAAACTAAAACTACATACCCAATGGACTACCAGTATTTGTGTAATTAAGAATGTGAAAGCCAGATTTGACATAGATAAGCTACAATTACATTTGATGCTCCCACTGTAAATTATTTTTTCCAGTTTTTCTTAGTGTGTAGAAGTTGTTTAACTGTATATCATTGCCATGCTAATATGTTTAGATTTATGTACAGATAGTTTCAGGGTTCTCTTTTATATGAGTGAATGCTATTGTCTTATTGATTTCTTTATGTCAAAGGTAAAATCCAATGATAGCTGCCTCTTCTTTATTAAATGCTTTGATGACACTATTCATGGCTTCAGGGTTCCTAAGAACAGCCTTCAACAGTCAAGAGAGGTAAATTTATGGATTAATTTATCTTTCATAAAACTTAAAGAACATATAAAAGCATGAAGAATGTAATATAGGTTTAATATTAACATCTAAAGTCTTGGTGATCATACCTTTTTAATGAGGCAATTATATGAAGCTTTTGAAAGTTGGCTTATGAATTAGCTAGTTATTAACATGTACCTGCAGGTATTTTCTGTTCATAAATCTTTTTTCATTTTGATTCTCTGATAGTAAGAGGTGGTTATTGATGTTGGAAAATACCTAAGTGATTAGTCTATCCCTTAATTTATGGGTGAGGAAGATGAAGACTGTAAGACTGAAGTGATTTTCCCAAGGTTGTACACCTTGCAAGTAACAGTACCTGCCTGGACTACAACCCAGTTATTCTGACGCCGATTATGGTATAGACTCCGCCTTCTTTTGTGGTAAATTGAGCAATAGCAGTAAGCAAGAAAATTGAGACTCTATCTACAGAAAATCATGTTTCAGCCATTTAATGGAGAATCCATATTCCTTTAAATAAAAGCAGTATCCATAGACTTTTTTTTTTTTTTTTTTTTGTAAATCATGTAAGGGATTTAAAAAGTCCAGTTCCCAGAGTGAATAGCTTTGGCCTCAAAGAGCCCTAAACAGTCCAATTCATGAGATTCTTGCTGTCTCAGCATTTCACAAAATGGTAAGATTTGACCCTGAGTAATACTGTAAGAAAATGAGGAAGAAGTAAGACATGTATTTTTAGGTCAGACAGTCTCAGTTTCCTTTTGAGAAATCACTGATTTTTTTTAAAAAACATAAGTAAAAGTTAAAGCATCAGGGCAATTGATGATGTTAAAAAGATTTGAGTTTCTTATGCTTATAATTTGATTATTATAAGTTGGTAAAATTATGTGACTAGATTTATTATTGTATAGTAACTTATTCAACAGCGTTGAGAGTTTATAATGTTAAAGTAAAAAATTCCTATGTATTATTTAATTTCTGTAATATGTATGAGTATTAATATTAATGATTATGTAAAACTTATAGATATTTTTTAAATATTGGGAAATGTCTTTTATCCAGACACCTTTTATGGACAAGAGTTCTAGATCATTATTTTATTGTTAGTTGCTTTATATATTTATTTTTTGAGGCCATGATGTTTGTTTGTCCACGTAAATGTTATGCTCTCCAGATCATTGTCACATTATCCCTTTTGAGTAAAAATGCTTCTCCATTTTTAGTGAAATCCTTGTGTTATTTCAGGATTGGCTAGAAGCAATAGAAGACCATTCTGCTTATAGCACTCACTACTGTTCCCAGGACCAATTGACTGATGATGAAGAGGAAGATACGGTTTCTACTGTAGACTTAAAGGAATCTTTAGAAGTAAGTAGGAAAACATAACTTGACCTTTATAGCTAATTCTGCCACTTAGGTAGTACCAAGAATTATTATTTTTTTAAATTGTGAGGTTTTGAAATTAAGGTTCCTGACAGTGATGGAAATAGATTGCTGTTTGTCTGCCCATATTTTTTAGGTATTTATGATGTCTCTGTCATGGTAATAAACTATCAGATGTCTCTAGGTATGCACTAAAGATATAGGCATGAGCCTGTGTATATCTTTTTATGTTAAAATATTTAGATTGCTGTCATCAGATTGTCATTCTATTTGAAAACTGCCGCCATTAGGGGGAGTGTGCATAGTGTGACTTGCTGCCCTTTATGACTTCACTGCACATTTCAGAGTTTAAATAATGCAACCATAGTGATACCTTTCCTAGTGACTAGTTTCATTTAAAACCACTTGCAATCTGTAACTTCATTGCTTAGAGGTAAGGTAAAGTGTCAGTAGTGAATGAGAGGGCCCTCATCTGAAGTGACATCAGTGCCTTTTCCGTAGCGAATTATGAGCCTATTTAATTGAAATGAAATAGGTATTTTTGGGGCATCAATTTTATGACTGTACCTTATAGATTCACCTTGTCTATAAAACAATGAGAATTAGGTTTGAAAGAATTAGAACTAGATGGGATGATGAGTTTCAATCCAGATAATTATGTCAGAGCATATGAATTTGCCTACCAAATTTAATTTAATTTATTAGTTGGATAATTTGAATATTTTTAAATCAACAACTTTAATGAAGTTAAGTTTACTCATACATAAGGTGTTTTATTGCCCTGAGGGCCGAGAAGGAGCCCTGGTGGTGCAGTGGTTAAGAGCTCAGGCTGCTAACCAAAAGGTCGGCAGTTCGAATCCACCAGCCGCTCCTTGGAAACTTAAGGGGCAGTTCTTCTGTGTCCTATAGGATCGCTATGAGTTGGAATCAACTCGAAAGCAACAGGTTTGTTTTTTTGTTGTTGTTGTTAAGGGCTGAGAAGCTTGTATAGGAAAGAGATTTTGATTCTTTTCATCCCTAATCTTAATTTTTGATGGAATATTAAAGAATGTGAACTCTTCCACATTTAGTTGAAGACATTTCCTAGAATTTGTTGAGAGTTGCTTTACCAGTACTACTTCTGTTTTAAAGCCTAATGTGTAATGTGACAACCATAAACATAATTTTCAGATCAATGAACTTTGCAAAAGTACCAGCTATTAGAGCATCTAAATAACATTAAAACTGTTCAGGTAAATAGAGGAGGCTTAAATACATATGACCAAAGTCATGTTAAACAAGTAAAAAATAAAACTATGCTAAATATTTTAATTTTTAGTCAATATTCTGTAAGTGAAAAGAAATACTTATTTATCTAACCTCAATATAAAGTAGATGACAAAACCTGAAAAGACGAAGTATATCAATGTCTTTTCCAGGAATATGGTAATTTTAAGACCGTTTTAATGGAAACTACATGTAAAATAAAAGCATAGTAGCTTTCATACTATTAAAAAATTTTCTTGAAGAAAAGTTTTTCTTTATAATTTTCAAATGTTGAAGTTATCAGCCTTTCTTTTTATTCCTTATTTGAATATTTGGTTTCTATGTTAACCTTAAAACCGTAGTTTTTTGCCTTCTAGATTTTATAGCATCTGAAGTCAGTGAGAGTTTTAGGCATTTTTAAGCATTCTCAGATTTTGCAGGTTATAGCATATCTATGTCCAAAAGAATTTGAATACTAATTATGTGAATCTTGACTTTGTCTCAATTTCTGGAGGCTGGTCCAAAACAGGTAAAATCTGAGATGAGCTTTGAAGTATGTTGAATGTAACTTGTGGTAGGTGGGCTCCAGGATGCCCTGGATCCTTGGGTTCCCAAGGTGCAAAGAAATTCTGCAGCCAATTTGTAGAACAGATTTGTTCTAGATGTCTATAGACATTCCAAAGGAAATTAGGAACTGCAGGACTGGAAAACCGCTAAGCCAAACGATCTGAATTAACCACAAAACTGACCTTATATCCCCAAGTCGCTTCTGCATCAGTAAATAGATCTGCAAGAAATGTCCATATTGAAAATGTTGTTTGATACCTTGATCTTATTTTATCTTCCCTAAAATGAAAAGCCTCCAAAAGCTTAAAACATTTTCTCTTAACTCTACGTTGAGGTTAGGCCTCCAGGGAGAAAAGTGTAAGTCAAGTTTGTTGAGATATTGGCCTCGTGGTTGTAGTCCAAATGGAAAATATTCTTTTAGAAATAAAAATTGGAAGATAAATTCAAGCACAGCGTTGCATTGTCCAAAACAATAGCGTCTAGGCAGTTGACTATTTACATTTAAATTAATTACAATTAAATTAAAAATTCAGTTCCTCATTTTACTAGCCACATTTCAAGTGCTCCGGAGCAACATGTGGCTAGTGGCTACCATACTGGATGGCACAGATGTAGAATTTTTTCATCATTGTAGAAAGTTCTTTGATGGACAATGCTGTATTAGCAAAGTGGAGGTTTTATTTGTTCAGGGTGTTTTGATTCTGTAAGATCAAAATTGTGTCTGTGTTATAAAAAGTAATAAGCAGATGATGTTACATTTCAACTAAGTGAGAAAATAATATAAAGCTTTCCTGATTTAACAATAGAAGATTCCTAATTAAAATGAATGTTCAGAAAGATGTATATACGTCAGTAAAATCCAGAAAAAACCACATCCATTGCTGTCAAGTCAATTCCAACTCGTAGCGACCCTATAGGACAGACTAGAACTGCTCCATAGGGTTTCCAAGGAGCAGCTGGTGGATTCGAACTGCTGACCTTTTGGTTAGCAGGCAGTTTCTTAACACTGCGCTACCAGGGCTCCATATACATCAATAGGGAACTGGATAAATAAGATTGGTGCATCTATACAAGAATGAGGTAGATTTACATATACTGGTTTTCTTAGTTGTTTAGTGCTGCTATTATGGAAATACCATGGTGGATAGCTTTAATAAATAGAAATTTATTTTCTTACAGTTTAGGAGGCTTAGAAGTCCAAATTCAGAGTGCTGGCTCTAGGGGAAGGGTTTCTCTCTCTGTCAGCTCTGGAGGAAGGTCCTTGTCTCTTCAGCTTCTGCTTCCTGGTTCCTTGGAGATTTCCATGTGTCTTAACATCTATCTTACCCCACCTCTCCTAATCCGTCTGAATGGCAACCTAACCCACTTGACCCCAGCAGGCCCCACTCTTCTGCCCCTTGGGCGTGGCAGCTGCACCCTCTCAACTTTGGGTGGTGGCCCCATATCCCAGCACACCTTAATGGCAGCCACACACTCCGGAACTGAGTTGGCGAAGATCTGACTCTTTGAAACCTAGGAGGCTGTTGCCCCACTCTTCGAGATCTAGGAAACTGTGGCCCCACCCTTCGAAACTGAGAAGGCTGTGCTTTCCATGCTCCTTCCAACAGCTCTGCTGATCTCTAAGCTGCTCCAGGGATGGTCCTTTTCTTTTCTTAGAGGACAACAGATGTAGCTCCTTTAGTCTGTTTCCTGCCTGTAGAATTCCAAGAGGCAGACGACATTATTTTTATTCTTTCTCTGTCCCCTTCATTCTAAGCTGATGGGTTTTCTGTTGTGGTCAGGTCCATCAGATACAGGCTTAATCTCTTTAACAAAAGATTGTGTAGCCATATCCTTGGTGAACATTCTAGAACATGTGTCCTTAGTTTGTACAACAGAATTTTCGAAATCTTTAAGTTCTGTTTTCATTTTGTACAGTTTATCTGTAAGTCCTTCTCTTTCTTCTCTCATTTTGCTATAAGCCACAGGGAGAAAACACAGGGCCCCTTTAAGATCTTGCTTAGAAATCTCATCAACCAGTTGTCCAGGTCCATCGCTTACAAGCTGTACCTTCCACCAAACATTTCAACATGATTCAGACAAGTTCTTTGCCATTGCATAAAAAGCATCACCCTTCCTCCATTGTCCAGTCACATGTTCATTTTCTTTTAAAGCTTCACCAGAAGCACATTTAATGTCCACATTTCTAGCAACATTCTGTTGCTGGTGCCAAATGTGTTCTCTGAGACAATAGAGACTTTCTCTGTAGCTCTCCTCGGTTCCTTCAGAGCCCTCATCAGAATCGCCTTTGTTGTCCGCAGTTCTACCAACAGTCTCTTCAAGACAATCTAGACTTTTACAATTAGGCACCTTAAAACTATTCCAGCTTCTACCAATTACCCAATTCCAAAACTGCTTCTACATTTTAGGTATCTATTACAGCAGCACCGCTACTTCTCGGTACCAAATTCTGTCTGAGTTATCCAGTGCTGCTGTAACAGATATGCCACAATTGGATGGCTTTAACAAACAAATTTATTTTCTCACAGTTTAGGAGGCTAGCAGTCCAAATTCAGAGTGCTGGCTCGAGGGTAAGGCTTTCTTTCTGTCGGCTTTGGCACTGGATAACTAAGACACTGGTATACTTAAGATATCTATATAGTTTAGTGAAAAGGGCAAGGTATAAAACGATGTATGTAATATGCTACGACTTGGGAAAAAAATAAGGGCTTGCACACATATTTGTATATAGGCTAGAAAGATGAGCAGTTATTAGCAGTTGTTGCTTTGGGACTGGAAAAGGTGGAGGAGGGGCTAGGACTGACAGTCCATGTGAGAGAGTTACTTTTCTCTCTGTACCCTTACCCTTTTGTTTTGAAAAAATTTTTTTTTTACTTTGTGTAAATACCTGTTGTAGAATAAAACATTAAAAAAATTACAAAGCAAGGCCATGATAATCACCAAAACCCAAAACCAAACCCGTTGCCATTGAGTTGATTCTCATAGCGACCCTATAGGATAGAGTAGAACTGTCCTGTAGGATTTCCAAGGGGCAGCTGGTGGATTCAAACTGCTGACCTTTAGACTAGCAGCTGAACTCTTAACCGTTGCACCACTAGGGCTCCTTGAAAAATAATAAATGTTCTATGAGTTGACTTAGATTGAGGAATGATCGAATATGGGATTATCCTTGA